CGGGGAACAGCGGATCATGGGAAGAAGGCGGCAGTCTCGGACTCTCGCACACATTGACGGGAATGAATTTGCCCGGACACAGAGCCAAGCCCAGGCCCAGACTTGAGAGAGCCTTGTTTCTCTTTCTGAAATGCTTTACCTCCCCTGCCCTCTTTTCTTTTCATACGGCAGTCTTATGCACTTATTGTGTTCCAGTCGCGTTATTGTGGCTGCAGGAAGATCCAGGCTGTTGGCTTTGCAAGTAAATAATAATAAAAGCCAGCTGTGCTTCCAGTTTAACTGCTGAAGCCTTTGGCCCGTTACGATCCAGCGCGCTGCTTATTGCTAACAGCTTACAGTTGGAAAACAATGGTGGTGATGTGGCCCTGCGATTCAGAGTCATGTGGCAAAGACCGTTCTCATGTTTCTTGAACATTATTGGTCGCTTTTTCAATGGCTTATGCCGACATACAGTACCAGCAGTCACGTTTTCACCTTTTCACTTTTTACTAGTACTATCTTCCCCATCTAAGACTAATCAAGTCTTCAAACTATGGAGTTCAAATGAAAATTTGGAAATTTAGTTAACTAAATTTTATTTTAGTGGAAATTTTGAACTAAAACTCTCTTATATGAGCTTGTTCTTTGTGTAGCTTCATTAACCATTAGCTGAATTTTATTAATATATAACTGATTTTATTATATTTAAGCATTTCAAATGGTCTTTAAGATAACAAGGGAAAAAAAATGAAAGTATACACACACACACACACACACACACACACACACACACACATATATATATATATATATATATATTTAAACATTAAACTATAATTGAATGTATGTGTGTGTGTGTATATATAAAACCTTTTTCCAGAAAGACTTATAAACTCCTGACCTTTGACCTAAGGACTTCTTTTGGGTCTCTTTTTCCTGTTCTGTTAATAATTTTTATGTCAAATTCCCCCTCATTTTGTTGCAGTGGTTGTAAGGAGAAAGTAAGTGGCTGAAAGACATAAAAGAAAACATAAAGTGGAAAGTGTGTGGATGCAGAACTCGGTCTGTGTTTATTTTGGAGGGATTGCACCGGAGCACCAGGCCTTTGGCGGCTCAGAGGCACAGGGACAGGTGGCGTGAACCATCCTCGCGTGTCCCGTGAAGGTGCCGAGGGGGTAGAGAGAAAGAGAGCGAGGGGTCCTCGGGCTGGGGCGGGACCGGGCTCTGCGCAGCAGGGAGGACGTGAGCGAAACGTTCCAAGAGGAAACGGTGAGGCCACGCTGCGATTAGTGGTTGCAGTTTAACTGCAGAAAAATGCATGGTCCAAGCCCAGCGAGAGAGGGTGGTTTCACTGGTCTCAGCGAGCCCGTATGACTCAGGGTCTCTGCACTCCTATCAGCCCTGGTGAAAGTTTGTTTGCACAGCTCTTTTCTGCACAACTGTCTTTAAACAGTGTTTTGTGGCATTTCAAAGCATTAAAAAATGGCTTTTCCAGAACATTTATGTATTTAGCAGATGCTTTTATGCAAATTAACTTATAACAGAGGAACAAAAGCCATTTGTCAAAGTGCCAACAATATTTATACCAGGTTTATTAGACCACAGTTTTTCCTACACTATTAAAAATAAAGGTTCCACAAGGGAGTTTTCATAGAAGAACCATTTTTGGTTCCCCAAAGAACCTTTTTGTGAACTGTTCTTAAAAGAACTGTGTTTTTCTTACCTTTTCCATTATAAAGAACCTTTGATGCATTTAAAAGATTCCATGGGTGTTAAAGGTTCTTCATGGGACCACTGATGCAGAAATAGAACCTTTATTTTTTAAGAGTGTAGAAGCTGGAATTTTACTGGAATCTCTGATAATTTCAGTGTGGAATTCCACGTCCCAGGACTCTTCCTCCAGTCTTTGTTAAATTCCCAGCCGAACTGACCTCCCCAGGCCCTCCTCCCACCTTTTAGCAAATGCTAAACATTTATTCCAAGTGGATGTCAGCTGTCTCTGTCCTGAAGTAATGCAGAAGACTGTCTGAAATTCCCATCACTGAGACCATCTCATACTCTCAATACTCTTGATTCCATTGCCGAACCCTCCTGAGGTTGTAAATCTAGCCCACGTGGAGGATCACGGGTGTCAGTGCGAAGGCTGAATGCCCTGTATGAGTTGCAGCCTCTAAATACCTTAAGGGTTGTTTAATTGTGGCTTCAAAAAAACCATAAAGCAAATTACTTGGTGCTACTAGATATTTAACAACCAACAGAGACACCCAAGAATGCACTTTTGGTGCACAGACTAGCAATTACCAACAGAAAATGGCACAAATAAAAAGTAACAGTTCACTCAAAATTTAATTCTGCCATTATTTACTCATGTCTTTCCAAATCTGTTTTCAGAAGATGTAATCAAGAGTCCTATTCATCGTAATGGCGAAAGTCCAAAAAATGCTCTGAATAGACAGATTTAAGTTTAATCTGATGGACCCTCAAAAATAAAGGTTACAAAAGGTGGTTTTCACAGTGATGCCACAGAAGAACCATTTTGAAGATCCACATTTTTCCAAAGAACCTTTTGTGGAATGGAAAGGTTCCATGTATGAAGGTTCTTTATTGGCATCAATGGTTCCATGAAGAACCTTTAACATCCACAGAAACTTTCCATCCCACAGAAGGTTTTTATAATGGGAAAAAGGTTCTTAAGATTTCTAAAATTCTCCTCACACTAAGAAGAAATGGTTTTCACTGAAACATTCTTTAGGGAACCCAAAATGGCTCTTCTATGGCACGTTTTGGATGGAACCTTTATTTTTAAGAGTGTGGAAGTTAAAATGAAAATTCTGTCATCATTTACTCACCCTCATGTCATTCCAAACCTGTATGACTTTTGTGGAACACAAAAGAAGATACTTGGAGTCAAAAACCCATTGGACTCTATTTAATTTCATTGTATGCTCTCTTAAAAATAAAGGTTCCAAAAGCAATGATGCCATTGAGGAACCATTTTTTATTTCCCAAAAAAAGCCTTTCAGTGAACAGCTCTTAAAGGAACCATTTCTTTCTTAGTTTGAAGAACATTTTAATAATCCAAAGAGCCTTTTTCTACTATAAAGAACCTTTTGTGGAATGGAAAGGTTCCACTGATGTTAAGGGTTCTTTTTGGAACCATAGATGCCAAATAAAGAACTTTTATTTTCAAGAGTGCGAACAAAAAAAGGCTGAAACTTTTTTTGAAATTTCTTCTTTTGTGTTCCACAGAAGAAAGAAAAAGCGTTTGGAACAACTTGAGAATGAGTATATAACGACTGAAGATTTTCTTGAAACTTTTTTTGAAATTTCTTCTTTTGTGTTCCACAGAAGAAAGAAAAAGAGTTTGGAACAACTTGAGAATGAGTATATAACGACTGAAGATTTTCTTGAGAAGATTTTGCATATAGTGCACAAATTTTATGGAGCTTTTTTAGAGTTTTATAGACCCAGTGTTTGATCATGGTGCTGGCGTTGCACTGATTCATGGGTAAAACTCTCCCAAACATCTTCAAACGCGAACCAAACCAAGCACTCCTTTTTGTCTTTTGTCAAAGGTGTTTAGGCCTCGCAGCATGCACACATATGAACATCTCCTAAGCCTTGCGTATTCTCTGTTTGGCCCCACGTTTTGAGTAAAGACCAGGCCGGGGCCCCTCTTTAGTCACTGAGCATTAGAGAGCGTAATGGGCATGAATTCACAGAAGCGCTTCAGGGTGTGTCATATTTGGCAAACCATTCTGAGCATCGAGAGGAACAAGCGGTATATTCACTGGCCAGACCCCTCACAAAAGTACGGCAAAGCCTCGGCGTGCCAAGATCTCATATTTCTGCAACGTTCAGCTCTGCTTTAGCTTATGGAGCTTCACTTCATATGCGAACCAGAAGCCTTTCTTTCCAGTACGTCTTTGAGCACATCGTAATACAGGCGGCCCTATCGCGGAGCCGTCGGTTCACACGGCGAAAACACAAGTCGTCGCCAGCACGCACAGCTGGAGGAAAGCATACGGTCAAGTGAGGACTCAGCGGCAATAATATGAGATGTTTGCACAGCGGCATAAGGCAAAAAGCTGTGCACATACACACACTGCTTTCTGTCTCTTAAAAGGTCTGGATTTCACCAAAGAATGCCATCTGGCCAGTTCGGGTCACTTTAGGGGCACCTCGATGCAATTCGAACAGTGATTTCAACAGTGCATGCATTTCTAAACAAAAAAGCACAACATGAAGAGGTCAAATGTCATGCAAACCATTGGACAAACTACACAAGCTTGGGCTTCAATGAAGGCAATCACCTCTAGGCTCAGTTAATAAATCAACCCCATGCACAAGCTTTATTCAAGAGCGTTTTTGTCCGAGATGCCCCTCTCGCAGTTGGTTAACTATGTCCTGGCAGGCATCTTCTTTATCAGTGGCCCCATGTGTAGCAGCCAATGAGGACGGGCTCCGTTCCAACCCACATCTCAATGTGCTCACAATTAAGCGCAGGGACACTGGAATCGCATAATTGGATGATGACTGCTTTATGTCCAGGCCTCAACCACTATGGACAGTAACAGTAACTTTGCCACAATGCATCATATTTGCATGCAATATTTCAGTTTTTTTGCACATGCACCTTTCCCCATGTGAAGTATTTAATTTGCATCCTGCACCATCTGAAGTATTTCTTGTCTAGAATAAGAAAACGACAACAAACTCATCACATGATGCTAGATTTAACACATGCCTCCAGACATTCTGTCTGCTATTAAAGTGCATTAGTGCAAGCATCGTTTCTCATTCTTTGGAGGCACTGCAGACGTCAACTCCTAAGAAATCACACAGACCGGGGCATAAACTGAGAAAACGCTCTTGGAAAATAGGACAGGGTCTTTCTGCTACCCTGAGTGACCGTGCTCACTGGACAAAACTAAATATGCATGCTTATATTGGCACGGCAATGCACTGGAGATCAATGATGCAAGGTTGCAGTGCCATTTGAGTTCATTAGACTGGCTTACCTTCTGTAAAACCTCCTGGATGTGTTATGGCCCAGCACTGGTCTCCACCTTAAACTTTCCAGAGGGGATGTTTGCTCCAATTCCCTTGGATTGCAAAATAAGGAGTCAGTTTTTAAGCAAGGCCCGGCAGATTATGCAAAAAGACCTGTAAAACACTGTCACCAGTGGCTGAATAATCTACTGCTGTCTGAGAGCATCAGACTGTTGTCTGGACACGCATGACAGTGTTCGGAAGAGCAGAAAACTCAAGACTTGCGAGGATAAAAAAGGCGTCAATCCAGAGTGAATGCGACGGATTTAGTAGTTTATGTCAGTTTCAGGCCATGAGGATATTCTCATGAAGAAGAAACCCGTTAAATGCGTGTGTGTGTGTGTGTGTGTGTGTGTCAACACAGTGTCCGTACTGTTATTATCGACTCTGGAATGACTGCTTAAGAACGATGCGCTAAAAAAACAAACAGAAACCGATCGGAGTGATCGTTGTCTTGGCATCAAGGTGCATCGCTTGCTGGCGACGCTGGTCCAGAGGGGTTTTTAATGGGTGGTCGTGCGCAAAAGGCGATGGAGAGGAGACGTCTCCCTTTTCAGCTTCGTGTCCGGATGGTGTCTCCGTGTCGGGTTCGCGATTTCCTCTGGTCGTTTCCAGTCCTGGGGCCTGAATGTTGTCCTTGGAGACAGTGTGTGATGAGTTGGGTCTCCAGCACCCCGGACTCGAGCCTGTCCGTGTCTCCTCTCCTCTCCTCGGGCGCAGCGGGCGGAGGGATCAGCCCTGACTGACTGTGACTCTGCCAGCTCAGCGCATGTGTGCTGCTCCGCCCCGTCCAGCGCTGAGGAGGCCGGCCTGGGCTCCCATCCAAACAAACTCCCCTCCCTTCCTCCCTCCAGCGCTCTGAACATTTTTATTGGCATGGTAATAAAGCTTTTTATCGCCGAAGCTTTAATAAACATTACCTCCTTAGACCCTTTCCTCAGATCTATTCATCTTGGTCTAGCATAGTGGACACTCTTACTGAATTTCTTTGAGATTATTCATACTAATATAAAATATAATATAATATAATATTATGTTTTATAAATTAATTAAAATCAGTACTTGCAATATGTTTCTTTATTGGTGTATTACATCATGTATAATTATGTTATAGATATGTATCATTTATATCATATATTTTGATCATATAAATTAATTAAACGTAATTAAATATTTTAATTATAATAATAGTTTATATTTATA